CCTCAGGCTGTAAGGGGTAAGGTGAGAAGTTTTCCATCAGGGTGGGGCAATTGCTTCCCCCTCAGGCAAAAGCTGCTTGGAAGGTAAATGTCTGCCTGTGAAAGATGTCCTCTGCAGTCTGGGGGAATGACTTGGCACAGGAATTCAGAGGGGTGCCCTCTGAGCTCTATCTCCAGAGCCCACAATCCTAGATTCTCCTCACACAGCTCCAGTCCACTCTGCCCTCCCTCTGCTGGACCCCAAGGTGAGTGGCTGCACACAAAACTTTGTGCACTGACCCTTTAAGAAGGTGCCTGCATTTCCAGCCATGTCTCCCGGGCAGACAGAAACCCAGCTGCTTTTCACAGCACTCAGTTCTAGTGCTCTTGGCTGGGAGCTCAGCCTGGGATTTAGGCCCCAGAATCCTCAGTGGGAAACCCCCACAACTGAGATATCCCTCTGGACCTTCAGCTGCTGCCTGTGGGAGTCCAGCCAGCCCTCTTGTGCCTCCACGCTTCCTACCAGTCTCTATGGGGTCTCCACTTTTCCTCCTTGGTTATGAGGGTGCTCTCCAGCTCGTCTTCAGTTGCAGTTGATTATTCAGAATGGTTTTTCTATGTTTTAGTTGTAATTCCTGTTTGGTCCTGGGAGAGTGTCAGTGTAGCTTTCACTGAATCTGCCGCCCTCTTTTATCTCCGTGCATGTGTTTTTTTAATGTAACTTTATTTCTATTTTGAATTTATTGGGGTGACATTGGTTAATAAAATTATATAGGTTTCAGGTATACAATTCTATAATACATCATCTGTACACTGTATTGTGTGTTCACCACCCCAAGTCAAGTCTCCTTCCACCACTATTTATACCCCCATACCCTCTTCTACCTCCTCCCACCCCCCTTTCCTTCTGGTAATCACCATACTGTTGTCTGTGTCCACGAGAGGTTTTTGTTTTGTTTTGTTTTTTTGCTTAATCCTTTCACCTTTTCACCCAGCCCCCAAAACTTCCTCCTCTCTGACAGCTGTCCTCTGTTCTATGTGTCTGTTTCTATTTTGTTTGTTTATTTTGTTTACTAGATTCCACATATAAGTGAAATCATATGGTAATTGTCTTTCTCTGACTAACTTATTTCACTTAGCATAATAATCTCCAGGTTCATCCATACTGTCACAATAAGTAAGAGATCCTTTGTTTTTTACAGGTGCATAGTATTCCATGGTGTAAATGTACCACAGCTTTTTTATCCCCTCATCTATTGATGGATATTTGGGACGTTTCCAGATTTTAGCTATTGCAAATTACACTGCAATGAGCATAGGGGTGCATATATTCTTTTGAATTAGTATTCCAGGATTCTTTTTTTTTTTTTTTAATATATCTTTATTAATTTCAGAGACAGGAAAGGAGAGGGAGAGAGAGAGATAGAAACATCAATGATGAGAGAGTCATTGATTGAGCCCACAACCTGGGCATGTGCCCTGACCGGGAATCGAACCCCAATCGCCTGGATCCCAGGTTGACTCTCAACGACTGAGCCACTCCCGGCCGGGCCAGGATTCTTTAGACATATTCCCCGCATGTGTTTTGAGAATGAAAAGAAAAAGAAAAGAATATGGACTCTTTTGAGTTTTGCTAATTATTTAATTTGAAAAAACATTTAAAAAATATTTTAAATCATTTTTTTATTTTTTGATTACAATGGACAAAATATTATATTAGTTTTAGTTGTATACCCAGTGATTAGACATTATATAACTTACTAAGTTATCATCCTGATTAATCTTGTACCCATCTGACACCATGCATAGTTATTACAGTATTATTGACTATATTTCCTATGCTGTACTTTACATCTCCATAACTATTCTATAACTGCCAATTTGTACTTCTTTTTTTTAAATCTTCACTTGAGGATATGTTTTTATTGATTTTTTAGAGAGAAGAAGGGGAGAGAGAGAGAGATGGAAACATCAGTGCGAGAGAGAAACATCGATTGGTTGCCTCTCATATACACCCTGACTGGGGATTGAAGACAGAACATTTTGGTGCACGGGATTACACTCTAACCAATGAGCCACCCACTGGCCAGGGCCCAATTTGTACTTCTTAATCCTTTCACCTTTTTCACTCATCCACCCAACTCCTATCATCTGGCAACTGTCAAAATGTTCTCTGTATCTATGAGTCTGTTTCTGTTCTGCTTGTTTGTTTATTTTTTATTTTTTTAGATTTATTTGTAGATAGATGTGTATTCATTGCTATTTTATTGTTCATATTTTTTTTATTGATTTATTTCCTTTTCTTCTTAAAAAAGACCCTTTAACATTTCAAGTAATACTGGTCTGGTGGTGATGGACTCCTTTAGCTTTTTCTTATCTGTGAAGCTGTTTATCTGACCTTCAATTCTAAATGATAGCTTTGCTGGGTAGAGCAATCTTGGTTGTAGGTCCTTGCTTTTCATCACTTTGAATATTTCTTGCCACTCCCTTCTGGCCTGCAAAGTTTCTGTTGAGAAATCAGCTACAGTCTTATGGTAGCTCCCTTGTAGGTAACTAATTACTTTTCTCTTGCTGCTTTTAAAATTCTCTCTTTGTCTTTAACTTTTTTCATTTTAATTATGATGTATCTTGGTGTGGGCCTCTTTAGGTTCATCTTCTTTGAAACTCTCTGCACTTCCTTAACTTGTATGTCTATTCCCTTCACCAGGTTAGGGAAGTCATCTGTCATTTTTTCAAATAGATATTCAGTCTGACTGCATTTCTTCTTTTTCCAGCATTCCCATGATACGAATATTGTTACGTTTGAAGTTGTTCCAGAGGCGCCTTACACCATCATCATTTTTTTGGAGAAAATTTTTCCTGTTCTGATTGGATGGTTTTTGCTTCCTTATATTTCGAATAGCTGATTTGATTCTGGGCTTCATCTACTTTACTGTTAATTCCCTGTAAATTATTCTTCATTTCAGTTATTGTATTTTTTATTTCTGACTGGTTCTTTTTTTTAAAAATATACCTTTATTGATTTAAGAGAGAGGAAAGGAGAGGGAGAGAGAGAGAGATAGAAATATCAATGATGAGATATTTTTTGATCAGCTGCCTCCTGCACATCCCCTACTGGGGGTCGAACCTGCAACCCGGGCAGTTGCCCTGACCAGGACCTGAACCATGATCTTCTGGATCATAGGTCAATGCTCAACCTCTGAGCCACGCTGGCCGGGCCTGACTGGTTTTTTTCTGTGGTTTTCATGTCCTTTTTATGCTATTGAAGTTTTCACAAAGTTTATCTACTTTTCCCCTACATTCATTGAGCATTCTTATAACCAGTGTTTTGAACTCTGCATGTAGTAGTTTGTTTGTCTCCATTTTGTTTAGTTCTTTTTCTGGAGTTTTGTTCTGTCCTTTGATTTGGGACTTTTTTTGTCTCCTCATTTTGGCAGCCTTCCTGTGTTTGTTTCTATGTATTAGGTAGAGTTGCTATGTCTTCCGGGCTTGGCAAAGTGGACTAATGTAGTAGGTGTCCAGTGGCACAACCTCCTCAATCCCCCAAGCTGGGGACTTCAGTTGCTAAACTCCCCCTAGTGTGGGCTGTGTACACCCTTTATTGTAGTTAAGCCTTTATTGCTGTTGGTACATCAATGGGAGGAATTTATCCCCAGGTTGATCATCTGCAAGGGCACACTGTTACCACTATACAGGATCAGCTGTACAGAGGCCCATCCCACAGAGCAGGACTTACATCAGCGGGACTCTGGTGCCCACTGAGTTTACCCCTTGAGTGTGTTGCTTATGGAGGCAGTTGAGTGGTAATTTGATGTAGTCTGAAGCTGTCCACAGGGTATGCTGGCTTTGGGGCTTCCCACCAGGTGCAGGCCAAGGGCAGCCACCACCTGTATTCTGCCTGGTGCTACCCAGCATGAGCTACAAAGCAATCTGCGGATGGCTGCTACTTGTGCTGGGCTTGGAGATGCCCAGGAGAGGCCAAGCTGTGAACCTTGACAATCTCTTACTGCTCTCAAGATTTTTTTCTTTTTCTTTGTCTTTTAGCACTTTTACTATCATGTGTCTGTTTTGGGGTCTCGGCTTTTATCCTATTTGGATTTTATTGAGATTCTTGAATGTGTAGATTAATGTTTTCCAAGAAATTTTGAAAGTTTTGATCCATTGTTTCTTTAAATATGTTTTCTTCTCCTTTCTCTCTCGTCTCTCCTTTTGTCACTCTCATTATGCTTATGTTGGTGCACTTAATAGTGTTACATATTTCCCTGAAGCTGTCTTCATTTTTCTTTCTTCTTTTCTCTAATATTCAGATTACATAATCCTATTGATCTATTTTCACTTTCACTAATTCTTCTGCCAGTTTAAATATACTGTTTATCTCCTCTAGTGAAACTTTCATTTTAGTTATTGTGTTTTTCAGCACTAGAATTCCCATTTTGTGTTTTTTTATAGTTTCCACTTCTTTATAGATAGTTTCTATTTGATGGGACATTGTCATCATAACTTCCTTTACTTATTTAAGTTTTTTTTTTTTACTTCCTTGAACACACTTTTAATGACCACTTTGAAGTTTTTGTTAAATCTGATTATGTATTCCATTTTACAGGTTATTTCCTGTTGTCTGATAGATTTCCCCCTTATGTGTCTCAGTTTTTCCTCTTTTTTCACATCTCTCATGAATTATTTTGAAAACTGGATATTTTAGATAATACATTGTAGCAACTGTGGGTACTGGGTTCCCCCCCAACCCCTGAGTTTGATATTGTTGTTGGATTACTTCAGTGAAGTATTTTTTTTCCTTTAGTGTGAGGCTCTGATGTTGCTCATTAGAGGGTACAGCCTGGGTATGCACACAGTTGCCCTGGGATGACAGTGGCTTTAGTAGTGCTCTCTTCAACTGTTTCTTACCCTGACTGCATGTAGATAATGATAAGCTCCATTAACTGCAGGCTCATTACTATATTGTTTTAATTTTTAAAATAAAAAAAAATTCAACTTTACTTTTTTTCCAGAATGCTCTTAACTCCTGGAGAGAGAAAGCAAGAGATTACAGAAAGTATGTTGACATTAGCTCTTGGAAGAGTTAAGACACAAGACTGAAAACCTTGAGGATTAACAGGTGTGTCTTTAAGAGAGTGACAGTTGCATGGGGTAATAGCTGTGGTGATGCTGATGGTAAAAAATGAGAAGTGAGGTTACAATTTTAAGAAAATCTTACTATAAATGCAAAAAATGATTAATAAATGAAGTCATCAAGTTTCCCCCTCCTCCTTCTTCCTAAAAATGATTCTAGCTTGATATGTGTCAGTCTCTTCTTTTCCTGCACCCTAGAAAGAATAATCTGCCTTATCAGACTCACTCTTGAAGTTTTGTGGCATAGAATGAATCAAGAGTAAAGAGGAGGAACAGGAGCATAAGATATTAATAAGCAGGATATAGCGTGGAGAGCTGACAAGCCTTTTTAGGAGGTGTGAAGAGAAGAGCTGTGATTTATGAAGGAAGTGGATGAAAGAGAAAAGGGACATTTTAAGGAAGTGTGAATGTGGCTTATAAGTCCCTATTCACAGTTGTGCTGGTTATTCTCCATTTGTTTCTGCACAGTCATTTTCTACTATTTTATGCTCTGCTTTGTGCCCCTGAAGGCTCTAGGTACTGCATTTCCTGGGTCTCTAGCTGGGCCTAGGGTCAGATTCAGTTAATGGGAGGCATTAGCACGAAATCAAAGGATGGGAAGACAGAGATGTTGGATAAGGTATTGATTCCCTACACCACACTCAACCTGGCCATGCTTTTGGCTTGGCTGTAGTCTTTTACTAAGAGCCACAATTCATGTTGAGGAGCCCTTCTCCAAGGCTACAGCTTTCACTGAGTTCTAGTAACAACACTTCTCTCCCCTGGTTCCTTCAGTCCTAAGAGTGGTAGCAGCTTCCCTCTGCTCTTTATCCCCAGGAACTTTACCATTTTTATTTATCTTACCCAGCCTACCACCTTGTAAAAATGGCTCCTATAGTAAACTTTCCTCACTTATACTATTTGTGGATGACATCTATGTTCTGCTGGGTCTCTTACTGATACAGCAATGTTTAAGAAATACAAGTAAATACTTGGCCTATTTTGAAATTACTCTTGATTGTATAGACTGTTTTGGCCAGGATACAAATCCAGGTGTAAACACAGAATAAAAATCCTGTAAGCATATTACTATAGGATAATTTTAGCCTGTTATGTAAAATTCTATAACTCTAACTAGGAAAGAGGCATGAGAAAATGAATTATGTTTCTGGCAGGGTTTTGAGGTAATATTGGATAAATTTAGAAAGGAAATAGATTTCATACTTATTGCTCTATCTGTGGGCTTCATGATTTTAGACATGTAATTTAATTTCCTAATGGCTTTTACTTGTCTTAATGAAGTCAGCTAATGCTTTCCTTTAATTTTAATGGAAACTAATTTGATTTCCTTCTTGCATTTCTAAATTATAATTTCTTCTCTATTACCAAAGAGCTATAACTGACACATGTGGACTGCCTGTGTCTTACAATCATTTTTTTAAAAATATGTTTTTATTGATTTGAGAGAGAGAGAGGAAGGGGGAGGGAGAGAGAGAAACATCAACATTGACCAGCTGCCTGCTGCACGTCCCCTACTGGGGATCGAGCTTGCAACCTGGGCATGTGCCCTGACCAGAAATCAAACTGGTGACCTCTTGGTGCCTGGGATGATGCTCAACCAACTGAGCCACATTGGCCAGGGATAGAATCACTTTTTAATAGGTTTAACATTAGTATATAGCTACAGAACATAATACTTATCACAAAAGATTCTGTTAAACATAACAACTTTGTGGCAATGTTTAATTCTAGAAAATTAAGGTGCCACACTTATAATTTCAGGCCCTTGAGTAACTTTTTCAGCTGTTCCTGGTGATTGGTTGTTAGCGCAAGATGACCAATGAGAAGTCAGTTGAATAAGTAGAAAGAGTTGTGTTTAGTTCATGCCTGCTTTCCTTGGCTCTTCATAAATAATCACTTCTTTCCACCTTTGTGCAGGACTTTTACCTAATAGATATGTTCATGAAAAGTTGCATATGGAGAAAAGCCATTCTAAAATACACTGTTGAAAGAAATCCTGGTGAGAGTTTTTTCATAAGGATATGGTTTCTAATTTATCTTCAAGCAAATTCAACATAGGAAATTCCAGTTTTACATCTAATATATGGCACATTTGTAACATTTGCTTTTCCCCAGCATTTCTTTAAGTACCTACAGAGTCTAGCTAAGGTAGCAACTTGACTCTGATAAGCATTTGTAACTCTCAGCTATTTTCTGAACTAAATTTTTTGTAATGTCTGGCTTTAGGCCACTACTCCATTAGGTTTGTCTGAGAGAAAACTTTGTGGCTGATCTTAGACAAGGTAAGTAGGGCAGCCTGCTTGGCAACACTGCTGCTTGCAACCTTCTCTCTTGGTCTTCCTCTTATCTACTCTAAAAAAAAGACTTCCCAGAAAGATTTTAGCTATACTCTTCAATTCTTAGACTTCTCTGATCAGTCAATATGAGATCTTCATAAATGGGAATCATTATGAAGCACTTGGGGCAAAGCTGAAGGACTGATGAATCTCCCACAGCATACCCTACCCTGACAAGCCCAAATCCTATGAAGCCCATCTGGCTGAAGTCTTCAGAGCAAAGATGCACAAGTCAGACCAAGGAGCCTTGAGAAGTCATTAAATTTTTCTTCCTGCCTCTTATACTAGTGTATTAAATGTTCTGGTTGAATGAATTGTTTATTTTAATATCCCTTCTACATGACCCAGATTGTCATGGAAGAGCTTTTCTGAGGTCACAAGGCAGGACATGGTTTTTCTTTAGTTATAGTCTGGACAAAAGTATCATCCTTAGCCACTCTTCATTTTCTGGCCTTCAGAGACCCATGTTGGTATCTGTGACTTAAGCCCTTGTATGCCAAGAAGCCAAGAAAAAATGAGGACAAAGTGGAGGGGAAATGAATAACCATTTATTGGGCACCTATTATATTCCAGACCTTTGTGACAGAGGTGATGAAGAGAGGATTAATAGGCTTCTCCTGGGACTCCTACTAAACCATCTGGTATATATTAGTTCTTTTAATTTGTATTTACCCCTTCCCCAAATCTTCCCTAGATTATTAATTTTGTCAGCCTTTAAAGCTGACAACATTGGGCTGTCAGTGTGAATAGGAAAGTTTGGCCCTGGCCGGTGTGGGTCAGTGGTTAGAGCATCACTTGGGAACCAAAGGGTCATAGATTCGATTCCCGGTCAAGGTTATGTACCTGGGTTGCAGGTTCCCCTGTTGGAGTGCATGTGGGAGGTAACCAATTGGTCCATCTAAGAAGTACTGTAACCTAATTGGGCACTGGCCAACTAGAACAGATGCAAATAATAGGTAGGGCTGTATAGGAATGTACTAGTTGAATGTCAGCCATGCTAGGAGTAATTATCATTTTACTGATAGGGATGTGTAACCAAGAAAGATCGGAGACATGCTATAGCAGTCATCTAGTTAACCCTTTGCTTTTCATTATTAGGGAGAAACTTGAATGTTCATTTCTCCCAATGCTCTTCTAACAGCTGTCTTAGAGAAACTTTTCATGGGTATGAGCAGAACAATTACCAAAAGAAGATGGAGCTTTTGGCTGCTTCTCTAAATGCCTTTCTCTCTTATCATTCCCTTATTCTCTTGAGATGCTGTAATCTGGCCACTGATTCCATTCTAATTCCTTGGTCCCCGGTTCTTTTCCATGAAGTTCTCAGCTGGTGTTTGTGGCTGTGCTGTACATGTGACAGTGCTTTGTCACTTTTCGTCATATTTCCCTATGTCATTCAGAGCAAGGCCCCCATAGATCTTTGAGAATTAAAGAAAAAGATACTTGATGCTTCCTGTCCTTCTCTCTTCCCTTTATCTGACTCTCAATATGTCAATATAGTTCCTATGGCTAATAACAGGGAATAGCAGGGCAATGTACTTCCCAGGCAAAATATCTGACCCACCCCCAGAATTTTCTTGCCTCTCTCTATCCCAGAAAGACTTCTTGCTGATTTTTTGCTCTCAGTGATCAAAGCAAATCCAGGAACAATTTAAATGAAGGGAAGGGAAACCAGGTCTAAAGAAGGCAAACACAAGAGCAGTGCAGGGGAAAGGGGCAGCTGGCCAGGAAAATGGGAATTTTCTTTCTTATTCAGGAAGAGTGGCTGTGATTAGTATTGAAAACTTAAGAGATTTCTGTGACAGTGATTTGAGAATCCTAGTTTTTTCCCTCTGTCCCCAATGCTTTATCACTGTGAGACCTTGTCAGAGCCCTGCTCTTTTGTATGATTCATCATCTACTCTGTCATGGTAAGGTCTTGAAGAGCCACAAAGTTAATGTCACTTGAGTCACCAAAATTGAACCCCAAAAAACAAAAATAGGCCTATCTCACAAGTAAAACTCATTAATACATATATACAGTTGTTCTCCTTGTCCATTTAAAAGATTAACAGCAGATGTAGTTCAGGAAAGATTAACCCTAACTACTTTAATAAGAATATGAATAGGGCACATGATATTATAATTTAAAACTTTAATATAGTGAACTACCCACCTTGAGACTTCCTTTGGTGTTTAACTATATTGATCTTTGCTATGGAATAAGAATGAATAAAGATCGTCAAAGAAAAAGGAATATTGTTGTACAAAAGGACCAATAGAATGTCAAGACTCCCACCTCAGCAAATCAGTGACTAAGCATTATCTAATGACTATTTACAAATATCGATAGTTGCAAAGGAGACCTTTGTGTGTATGTTTTTTATTGAAAAGCATTTTTTTAAAGGGCTGAATTTTTTTTCTTTACCCTTTCCCACATGTTCAGTTAATTTAATGCTATAGTATAACTGCTTTGCATCATGACCTTTTTGAACTGGATATATTGTTCAATAATTCAACATCCAATTTGTAAATGCATTGATCACCTATAACTTCTGTCTAGATAATAGTAGGTTTTCAATGGGTATTCAGATCATTTCAAATATCCCGCCTCTCTCTAATTCCATATCTAGATAAGAAAATGAGGTTAGTGTTGACTTAGTGGCAGAGTCAA